GAGCGCTCACATCTGACGGTCGATGAATAAGGGAGTCGCTATTTAAATTGTAATTTCGGCCGTGCTAAAGATACCGGGGGATTTGGCCGGAGAATTTTTACGATCCGCCGCGCTACGTTCCTACGCCGATTTAATAAGAAAGACGCTGCCCGCTTTCCATCTGCCCAACGACAGGGACAAATTTTTTATCTCACTTGCGTAGCGGACGTTGAACGGATTGGATTTTTCCAGTTAGTACGATACGAAGCATTTTCAGAGTGTCCTCTAAGCTCTCTAAGCTCTCGGCTAGCCAAATTTTGGTTTCAATATGTTTCATTGCTTGATCTCATACTTGTCAACCTTGAAACGATTGAGACAACTCACCGAGTAGAAAGTATAGAGAAAGTATTATATATTCTATTTCGAAAAATTCCATACAATTAACGTCGTAATATATACGAGAATTTAGTGTAATACATTTTCGTAATATATACAAATTTAATATTATACCAGTTATTTAAGATTACAAATTAAAATATCTTCGCAACTATTGATTATATGAAAATACATTTAAAATATGTTTTTCATGTATATTTCATATTTTATGTAATTAAAAAAATGAAATAAAATAAAATCTTGGTAGAAACTTGTTTTACATAGCATATTTTATATACTTTTTTTATCGTCTGTTCAATTGTGTACCTTTAAATTTCCTATACTTGTTAATTAAACTATTTTGGAGGTGAACGTATAAAGAACACATAAAGATCAATTTTATATTTTTGTGTAGAACTATGTAGTATACCCATGAATTATCAATTGAACTATTATAATTTCGTGAAAAGAAATCGTATAACAATCAACCAAGATTCATTTTAAAAGGTCAAATTTTCATTTTTACAATCAACCATTTATTTTTTCTGAGATGTTTTTACATCATGCAGTGAATGGGAATGTACTTTTTTTTCTCGAAAATACTACAAATTAGTATTTTTTATCATAATGTGTAGAAATATTAAAAAATTTCAATAATATAGCCAGAAACATTGTACACGTTACAACATGTTAAGAAGTCGTAAAAGGAAAATTTCGAATCCAAAGTAGATTCAGCCGTGAAAAAAATTTTTCAATGTTTTTATAGTCTGACCAATTGTTGACATTTAGTCACTTTGAACTCTGGTCAATTGTTGTACAATTGTTGTACAATTTTATAAAAATTTAAACATTGATAATTTTGAGTGCACAGTTTTAAATGACACTCATTGTATATAATTTTTAATTAACATCAATCGACCAATTAGTCAGCATTCATTGAGATACAAAAAATATTAACCTGTACATGTCGTAAACCAATAGTTCAACAAATACGTACTTTGTTTGAATTATGTAAAACTTATCGTATACAATAAGGAAAACAGCGATATAATAAAGACAAGAACAATGTAAGTATAATATATGGTTGCTTTTATAAAATTAAAATTAAAATATTTGCTAAATTAGTTTCTTTTTTTAAAGGGAACACAAAGTTGGACTGAATGCATTAAATATTTAAAAAAACTTTTACCTTTATATAATCTCTATGCATTCATTTACAGGAATGATAATAATATCTATAATCCTATAAAAATCTATAATCCCATTTTATAATCCCATAAAAATCATTCGAGT